AATATATATGAAAAAACATTAGCTGCAGGTTGGAGAGAGGACAGTTGGAGGTGTCTTGATTAGAACTGGGCAATTGTAGACTATATTTCCAATTTGACAAAGAGCTTCAGCAAGGAAAAAGAACATTGCTTTTGGAACACAGATGCTCTCCAGAGTGCCTGTACTGTCAACATTCAATACTAATACATGTGTGTGTGTGTTTGTGTGTATGTACACACATTCATACACAGCCAAAGGCTTCAGTAGACGAGGCAATGGCATTGTCTTACTGAAATGATGATTTCTAGGATTTTCTGAAGATTTGTGGAGGGGATCCTATCTGAAAGCTTAAAGAGACCTTTTCTCCTTTCTATTGAGAAACTGATGACTTTTTAATGGGTGAAAGGATACATATACAGCCTACAGGGTGGTAGATTATTCACTCCTGGCAAGAAATTCTTTAACTCAGTGCCTGTTTCCATTTCAAATGTATACTGACTTCCTCAAAATACACTTCAAGAACATGTGTGGCTTCAGATACCTTCTATTTTGAAGAATTTTTTTTTTCATAATTCAACCATTTATAATGATTTGGGAATTTCATAAGAGATATGTTGCTCTTCCAGTGTTCTCAAGTAAAGTTTCAAAATGTAAATAACATAAATAGAAAAGAAAACAGATGTGTCCTGAAAGGAGTAAAATTATTTACAATCACACTGATATCTGATTTGAGACAAAATCTTTCAAGTAGAGAAGCGGGTTTAATTAAAATGCCACTGCAATCCCTGTGAGTTCTCTAAGAAAACAGAAGTAAATTAAAGTAGGGGGATTGCATTAAAACAAGATTAATTTAATTCATAGATGGTCTAATGCAGAAGCTTGGAGTACTCCAGATGCTTTAGTCTACAATTCCCATACCACTATGACGATGTTCATGAAACTTCAAAGCAGTAGGAGAATATGGATTGCATCCTTGGTTTAATTTAACTTTGCATTTCCTAATTATCAGAGATCTCATGACTGTGTTAAGGGTGGGATAAGCATCTGTGCAATTATGAAGTCCTTGTCATTTTGCTTTAATACCAAACCACTTCAGGATTATTTGAAGCTTAAACTGCCCCCTCCTGGTCAATTGTGTTGTAGAAAGAAGAAAGCTAAGTCTAATTTACACCTTCTCTTATGGCTAACTGTCGGATGTCCTCTACCTTCACATTTCATTCCCACACACACTAATTATTTTTCATCTCTATCTACACGGAGGCAAAACAGGACCGAAAGAGGATATGGAGGAATTTAGTTATTACTGAATTATTGATTTCATGTTTCTACAGTTTTTAGGAAATCCACAACGGGCTAGCAAAAGAAACTAGATTATTAGCAACAATGGAGTTGCTCCCACCGCAACCAGGAGCTTAAAATGGAATTGTGTTGCTGCTTCATCAAAAATAATTTTATCTGGGGTTGGGAGATTAGGTCAGGCATGCTGCTATTAAGTCTGTCTGAAATACACTGCAGCTTATCTTCAAAAAAGCTATAAGAATAGGAATCTTTCTGCATATGAGATCAAAGCTTCTGAGAATATGGCAGTAACAGTCCCTTCGTATAGGTATATGGAAGCAAAATAGGATTATGTAACATAGTTACCGTACTGATGTGTTAGAAATAGGGAAGTAGTGAAATTACAGCAAACCACTCTTGAGCGATTGCTGCACCAACGTTTTGGAAGAAAAATCCATCTGGTTCAGTTCCAAGCTGGGAGAAAGACACTGGAAACATTATTGGTTATTGGAAAGATGATTTATTGATGAAGCGGAACCACATGTGATTCTAGGCAGCTGACAAAATGGAGTTGAGAGTAGCTTTTTATACCTTCTTTGGGCTTTGTATTTGAGCTTCCTGTTCCTGTGCAAAAACATGTCCTCTAATATTCTATTGGCTGTTGTCGAATCCTTATGGGGGTCATGTACAGGTTATGTTGGGGTCATAGCTCACTCTTTAGGCAAAAGAGGAAATGCAAACCCTAGGTGCTTGTCTGAGCTAATCTGGTCAATCTCTGGTTTATTGTTTATCTGAGCTCCCAGGTTGCTGTGACGTTGGAAGTTTGGACTGCAGTGAAGGGGCTTGTGTTCTGAAAGGGTGTTGGGCAATTCCAATTGTGTCCAATGGCTTTCGTCTTGTATTGGATCTTGGGTGAGGTGCTGCTTTCTAATCCTACCAAAGAGTTTTGAAACATCCTGTCTTGAATGGATTACCAAATCTGCATTTCTAAAAGCTGGCTTCCTCCGTTTCTGCTTGGGGGTAGGGAGACTGGGGTTGGTTTAAGAGCATGTTTCTCCATTTTGGGGAATTATAATATCTTGCCTTCTTAATATTCCTCAAAATATTTCATTCTTGGGGGGGGGGCTTTCCACAATAGGCACAGTTGTTATTGGCCCAGAAGCTGGTGTTCAGGACCTACAATACTTGATCATAGAGTTTCAAATGCATTGATCACAGCTCATAACAAAGCATAAATGGTGCCTCCCACTTCACTCCTCTTTAAACCGGTCTTTGCTATTACATTCCCGCAAACATGACCAGGTTACACAAGACCTTTCAGGTGCATTTGCATAATGGTTATACCTTGAGGTGTTTAGGAAGGCTGAGTTGAACCTGGGGAGTTTCCGGTTTGTCGGCTTCGCGAGCGGTAGGGATTCGCGAAGCTGCGCGATCCCTGCCGCGCTAGCCGTTTTGGGGCTCCGACCCGGACGGGTGCGGAGCAAGGCTGCCCTGCAGGGGTAGCTGAAGGTAAGGGGGATCCGGAGGAAGGGTTTGGGGGTGTTGCAGACCCCCTCCCTGGCCGGCAGAACCCCCTGTTACCAGGACGGTGCAGCGGCGGTCCGCAATGGCCGCCACAAAGAAGTTGACAGCCGGGCAAGTATGCGCAGGAGGAAGAAGAGAAAGTTATTGAAAGTGAAAGTTCTTCTTGGTCGACCCAGGGCTTTGAGATTTATCTAATTTAATTCCTGGAAAAGATGGTTTTCTGATGATTTCTTCCACAAGAGAAAAAAAAAAAGCGGCTATTTTGAGGTGCTGAAGGGAAAGTTTACTCTCCCTCCCGACGGAATTAAGCCGGAAGGGAGAGGATAAAGAAAATATATAAATTTGGATCTTGTTGGAGGAGATGCCTTGAAGACTTGAGGACAGAAATATAATCTTAATAAGGCTTTAAAATATAGATTTGGATTCTTTTTTTTTATTTGTTTGATACCACCCCTGGAAGAGGAAGGGGGAATTTTGGCTTGCTTGGATTTATTGAGGATTGTGGATTTTGGGATTGTTTTGCCTTTCTCTCGGAATATTTGGTTGGTGTAAGAAGAAAGAGGAATAAAGAAAAGAAAAGATTTATTTATAATGGCTTTCCTTTTTGAAGACCTGAGGGATGAATATGAGCAAACAAAAGCAGCCTGCAAAGATGGCATGGAAAAAGCTTTTCTATTTCTAGAAATGGCGCTGGTCAATTACCAACAGACAATGGAACAGATGGAAACGGAAGAAGAACAACAAGGAAGAGACGAAGACGCCATCTTCATTGAATCCCAAAACTTATCTAAGGAAGAAGGAAGGAAGAGAGCAAGGAAAATGAAGGACTTAAGATCTAAAAAAACATTTGAGAAAGAGAAAAATATGATGCAAAGTAAATATAATGATAACAAACAAGAGAAAAAGGGAACACAACAGAGAAGGGATCCCAGCAAGGCAGAGGTTAGAAGAAGAAGGGGGGCTAGGAAGATTTGGTGGGGGAAGAAAGAAAGGGGAAAGGCGGAGAAAAGCCTCAAAGCTTTAAAATTGGATGGGAGAAGAGGGATTTTTTTTAGAGACAAAGGATGAAATATAAATTTCTGTAAGAAAGATTCTGCTAAGGTACAGAAGATGGTATTGTAACATTTATATTTGAAATAGTAAATTAGAATGGTTTAAGATTTAATAAGAAATTAAAATGTTGAAGTTTTTAATAATGATTGATTTTTAAAATGTAATAAAATATCGAAGGAAAGGAGGATACAATGTATTTAAATATTTTTGGTGGATAGAATGTACCAAGCAGAACCAAATTGGGTATTTGTTATGCTGAATGTTAATTTTACCAACTTAGGGGGAGGATAGAAAGGCATCATACTCTGATTAGTGATTTCAGGAGAAATTCTTTTTATTATAAGAAGAGATAGAGGGATAATGAATGGGCAAAAGATACAAATTTAATGATTTAATTAAGATGGATTAAATAAGATAGAAATGTGAAGAGTGATATGTGCTATTATTTTAGCCCATGCAAAGAGAGGTAACTGGGGCCAAGGTACTTTACTAAAAGATTTTTTTTATGTTTGTTTGTGTTTGTTTGTGTTTTATGAGAATATTGGGGAAATTATTGTAGAAAGACAGGGAAAGATTTAATATGTAATGATTTGTTTGTTGTTGAAACTTTTAATAAAACTTGTTTTAAAAAAAAAAAAAAAAAAGGAAGGCTGAGTTGAACCTGAAAACCCTGGTTTAGGATGGTTTCTGCAAAGTTAGAAAATGAATTAATTCCATAATCAAAAAGTGTATGTTGGGCAAACTCGGTGTAAATGTATCATCCCTGATCAACAGGTTTAAACTTGAACCTTCTGCTTCAGCCTAGCTCTTGCTCCTAAGTGCATTTCCTCTTCTATTTTCTTTCTGCATTCTGTGCAGGAAGAGACATAAATGACCAACAGAACACTCATGCTTATCCCAAAACATTCAGGTGGGACATGAGTGATCCACCCCTTTGCAAGTAATCATTACCTAAGTTGCTCACCCAGCAGTAGTTTTAGCAAATGCTCCTTAAAGATCAAAGGCTGGCGAAATGCTGGCAATTGCAGACCTCCAGACATGTAAGGTAAAATGAAAGTTTCTGGCCAGATAGAGTTTCTATCTTTTGAAAGTTTCTGGCTTTTGTTTCACTTGTTTAAGGCCTGGATTCGGCATAATCAAGCCTTCCTTCTTGTTCTCTTTTGCAGTTTTTAAAGGAGAAGCATGTGATGGACAGCTCCCCAGAAAAGCTGAAGAAGGAACTGGAAGAAGAGTTGCAGATGAGCAGTGATGATTTGCGGAGCCACGCATGGTACCATGGGCGGATTCCACGGCAGGTGTGTTCCTTTTGGTCTCATTTTTAGGGAACCCTGGAGAGTCTTTTGTGTTCTCTCCGCTTACCTGTAGTACCAAATCCTGCCAACCCTTGATCCCACTTCATATAGTTACAACAGTTCAGCTTTTAATGGGACAAGCTACAGGAATCACGCCTTGAGATTTCTCCAGGTGGAACAAAGGAACAGTTGGTGGAGAAATGAAACATACTGGATTATTCCAAGTTTTAGACCATAGTTAGGTGGAGGACTGTCTTTCTCCAATTGTTTCTGCCTGACCAATAAGATCTGGACCAATTGGTTTGCTCCAAGCCAGGGGTCTCCAACCTTGGCAACTTTAAGACTTGTGGACTTCAACTCCCAGAGTTCCTCAGCCAGCTTTGGGTTGGAGACTCCTGCTCCAAGCTGTAAAGCATTGTATGTTGTAGGATTGAGAAGATGGACCTTCTTGTTAGCTGTTCCTGTTCTGTAGACATTGTGCTCCCTGAGGTCTGCATGACCCTGACTCTTTTGTGCTTTCATAAGGCCACAAAGGCCTGGTTCTTTTGACATTCCCCGAGGTAGGGTGTAGTGATCTGTTCCTTGAGGGAGAATTGTTGGAAATATGTCTGTTATCCATCTCTGAGTTGGTTATCCACCTCTGATACCAGGTGTTCTGCTGTCGATTTTGTCATTTTTCAGTGTGGTTTTTTTGGTTTTGATGAAACTGCCACATAACCACAGAATTTGTTGCCTGGATTTGCATATTTTATGCTATTTTTTCTGAAAAATCTGCACTTTTTTTAAAAAAAAGAAACAAGCACGTTTCTAGCTCTCATGCATTTGTCATGAATCATTTTGGGGATCCTTTTTCTGTTGTTCTCTTCGAAACATTTTCTAGAGAAAAGACTTCTAAATTATTTGAAAACATTAACACTAAAGGCCATTATATCAAAAATAGGCCAAATATATTTAACTTGCAAAATTTATTCTGATTGCTGTTTGCTTTTCCAGTAGTACATTATGCATACAACTGGTTAGAGAAATAGCTTCAATCAGGCTGAAAATAATAGTACTGACATTTGCAAAATGCCTTTCTTTTAGGGATTTGGTAAGATAGTTAAAAGCAATAAACTACATTTCTGTTCTCAACTTGGTTTTTTATCATGACACCTAAATGAACTTTAGTACCTGAATGAGAAGAGCTGTTACTATTTTAATCCCAGGCAACTGAAACAGCATGAGCTGGTAATCAAAATGCAAATCTTCTTAGTTATAACTACTCCTGTGGGAATCAATCTTGCAATGTTTGATAATTAAAGGTTGTCTGATTAAAAATAGGAAAGACAATTAAAATAGTATTTCATGTTGCAAGTAAATGTGTTAGATACAGGTAAAGAAGCCACTGAAAGAACTGGATTCTTCATACAAACCAATGAAAGAATATTGTTCACAATAGTCTAGAATCCTATTTATTTATACTTATCTATCAATTTAAATTCCATTGATGTAATGAATCTGCTCTGACTCAGCTAGATCCAATCCAGTATTTTGGAGTTTCCAGAATAAAAGATTGTCCATTGGTGGCAGTCAGGACAAAATCTATATTGATTTTATGTTTTAACATTTCAAATTAGTCCGTGCAGATGGTCTAAAGATCATTTAAAGTTGTAAGTGGTCTTCTAATCCATTTTTAACATCATTTGCCTCTTCTTAAATTTTATATATGGTGTTTATGTTTTCAATATTTTATGTGTACATCACCCAGAGTCCATCTGTGAGGGAGATGTGCTGTTTTAAAAATGAGATATATAAGGAGAAAAATAGTAGTAGTATGACCACAGGACAAAGTATCTAATGCTCTCACCTAGTTGTGGTTCAGGAATATGCCTGAGAAATTGGATTCACTGAACTTGTTCTCAATACAAATACAAGTTCAGAGGGAGAGTTTTGATTAGCAAAACCTACAGACTTATATACCACATACCATAGAGCTTTATAGCCCTTCTAAGAGATTTACAGAGTCAGCATATTGCCTCCAATAATCTGGGTCATCATTTTACCAGCCTTGGAAGGATGGAAGGCTGAGTCAACCTTGAGCCTGTCAGGATCGAATTCCAGACTGTGGGCAGAGTTAGCTAGCAATACTGCATTCTAAGATTAAGTCTACCACAAGGAGGGTTTGGTCTAGCAGCTGCAGTCATCTTTCTGTAGCGACAATTTGTAGTTTTGAAATACATGTATGGTTATTGTATTTGTGCAATTAACACCAGGGATAGTTTGATCTTAATGGACATCATGATGGGATTGGGTAACCTATCAAATTGTTACTGTAAATACTGTCAAACTACAGCTGTTATCACTAATCTGTTGTTCTCAAAATGATATAGACTATTGCTCCTACCAGCCATGGTCAGTATTACAGGAATTATACTTCCACGTATCGACCATGTTTCCCCGAAAATAAGATCCAACTGGAAAATAAGCCCTAGCATGATGCTCGTAAGGATGCTTGTAATGTAAGCCCTACCCCCCCAAAATAAAGTCCAGTTAAGATCGGCAGCCAGACGGATGTGTTTTTTACTGTATTTCCCTGAAAAATAGACCTAACCAGAAAATAAGCCCTAATGGGTGTTTTGGAGCAAAAATTAATATGACCCGGTCTTATTTTCAGGGAAATATGGTAGAATGCACAAGGCTGCTTAACATTATCAAAGCATTTTATTATACATTTATACATTTTATTAACACTGGCATGTTTAAATCTCATTGTGCTCTGATCACTTTGTTTTCTTTTCCCAATTAATATGCATTCCCTGAATGATTCCAGAAGAATATTAATGCTGATTTTGTAGCAGTCAGAAGGTTAAGAGTGCTTATACAGCCTCAGAGATTAACAATTTTATTGCGATATAGAGTCTCTCTGGTAATAGCTGCAGTACATAGTTGAATGAGATTGAAAACACAACAGGAAACCTTCCATCTCAGTTGAAAACAAAATGATCTAGGTGATTGTTAAAACCTCAAGGAATGCTCTCTGGGCACTCCAGAGTGACGGGTAGAATATTATCAAGTATTACTGAACTGATTGCTGTAAAAGAGAGCATATCTTTTCTTCAAGAAATGGAATTTATCTTAATTAGTCCAGTTTGCTCATTCTTTATGGTAGGGTAGGGTAGGGTAGGGTAGGGTAGAGCAGGGTAGGGTAGAGCAGGGTAGGGTAGGGTAGGGATTCCTGCTGATTGGATTGTTCCTGCAAAACATTCTTGCATTCTAGCCAAGTAACCTTGGTCTTGATTTCAGAAGTAACAGAATCAGAATTATGATTCTCCTCAGGTAGGGGAGTTTGGAACGTCTTATATTTTATAAAGCAATCTGAATTTGGTCTTGTGAGAAAAAGGCTTAATATTTTTGTAAGGTTCAAACATGACAGCTAATAAATATCTGCATGAGACAGAAGAAATGAAAATTAAGCTAGAAAAGAAAGAATATATAAATTAAATTCTGGCATAAACCTTAATACAGAAAAGCTGAAGGACTGGTTAAGATCAGCTGCATAATAATAATAATAATAATAATAATAATAATAATAATAATAATAATAATAATAATAATAATAATAATAATAGGCATTGAAAAATTCACCACCAGTCAATTGCAAAAGGCAGTTTTACTCAGAACAGCTTAACAGCCTGTGATGATACCTCTAATACTATCAACTCTCCACATCTGCCTATCTCAGGTAGGTGAATAAAAATGCCAAATCCAGTCTGAAGATCTGGCTGACCGTGCGACGAACTATAATATAACTTACTGTTTTTGCTGAATGCTTGTCAAACAAATACAAATCATTTTTGGTTTGGAACATATTTTTAAAGTTTTGTAACGCACACTGCATTTTAAAAATATTACTTTTTATTTAAGCAAATTATGCGGCTGCCCAGCTTGCAGATTTTGACTCTGGGTTGCCAATATAAATAAATATATATATAAAACAAACAATAAGCATACAGACCAAAAAAAGCATAGCATGAAACAGCACAAACTGAGGCCAAACCCAATTCAGACAATCCAAACTATTTGACATACAGGTCTAAGAAGGAAAAAAAAAATCCCCAACTTTTTAAAGATTTATGGAAAGCCAGCAAGATCAGCACCATTCTGAAGGGCAAGGAAGGTGCTGGGTCCCCTTAATTGATGCTGTTTCAGAGAGGAAACCCAGTGCATGGCCACCCTGTTGGATCTCATGGGATAGGCAGACAGAATTGGAGATAACTGATCCCACACATGATCTCTAGCTCTTCTACACTGTGCCATGAAGATGGTTGTATGTGTATCTTTACTAAAAATAGGTAAAAGTTCCCCTCACACATATGTGCTAGTCGTTTCCAACTCTAGGGAGATCTCTGTTACAAAACCCAAGAGCCAGCGCTGTCCGAAGATGTCTCCATGGTCATGTGGCCAGCGTGACTAAACACCGAAGGCACATGGAATGCTGTTATCTTCCCACCAAAGTGGTCCCTATTTTTCTACTTGCATTTTTACATGCTTTCGAACTGCTAGGTTGGCAAAAGCTGGGACAAGTAACGGGAGCTCATTCCGTTACATAGCGCTCGGGATTTGAACTGCCGAACTGCCGACCTTTCTGATCAACAAGCTCAGTGTCTTAGCCACTGAGCCACCGTGTCCCTATCACTAAAAATATACCAGGTGGGGGGGGAACTGACGGGGGGGGTGGTCTAGCCATGGATAATTTCCTCTTGTTTCAATCAGGCATGTTTTTTTTTCTTTTCTTTTAAAGGTGTCTGAGAGCCTCGTTCAGAGAGACGGTGACTTTTTGATTAGAGATTCTCTTTCCAGTCCTGGAAATTTTGTCCTTACCTGTCAGTGGAAGAACATTTCTCAGCATTTCAAGATCAATAAAACTATCTTGCGGCTCAGCGAAGCTCACTGCCGGGCGCAGTTTCACTTTGAAGACGAAGGCTTTGACACCATCCCTGGCCTGGTGCGATGTTACGTAGGAAATCGCAAGCCCATATCAAAGCAGAGTGGAGCGATTATATTTCAGCCCATAAACAGAATGGTTCCCCTGAGATGCCTGGAGGAGAAATATGGGGTGTCTCCAGTCCTGCCAAGAGAAGAGAGCATTCCAGAGGGGCAAGTAGAAACCCCACAAAGACTGAGCCTTCATGTGTGCAATCAACAGGCGAGAGAGTCCACTTTAGCCAAAGGAAATCTTTTAAGGTACTGCCACTCGGTTTCACCAGAGAGGGTTGTTGTGTGTGGGTTACAATGCTGAATGGCTGGGGTACATTTATGGATTGGTTTGCAAAATCACTCCCTTTTCATTCGTTCAGACATGTTGCAGAAGATCTGAAAATGAACCAAAAGGTGTCATCTCTCTGAAAGCTGGAAGAGAGCTCTGAAGGCTGTAAAAAGCCCTTTAACCCTTTTCTCCCTGCGGTGTCACTTTCAAATCCATCTCAAGGTTGTATTCAGTCAAGTGGCAGAAAAAAGCAAGGGACTCTTTTTGCTTCTCTCCACTAAAATATACAGAGAGGGAGGGAGGGAGGGAGGGAGGGAGGGAGGGAGAGAGAGAGAGAGAGAGAGAGAGAGAGAGAGAGGCTGAGTTAATACCTTGTCAAGAAAGGGGATTTGTATTATGCAAAAGGTTCAGACTCAGCACTTCCTAAACCATCTCTGGATTTGCAAGCCAATGTCTCATTTCTATAGCCATTTAAAATAATTTTAAGCAGGTCCAGAAATCCAGTCCACAAATTTCCTGAACTGTTTTGTTGTTGTTGTTCTTTGGTTGTGTTGTCTTAAATAAACAGGCAAGCAGATTGACCAATTGGAAATACCTTCATTGGGGTGTGGGGGGAGGGATTTAAAACCTTCTTTGCTTCCTGTGGAAATCTGTGTGGTTCCTTTCTCATTTTCTCAAGTAAAGCCAGTGAAGTAGGCTAGGTTGAGTGTAAGGACATGGTTACTATGGGAAGGGGTGAGCTGATCTTACTACCCCAATTTTGTTATTCTGATCCAACCTCTGCAGTTTCAGGGTTCATTCATACCATACCACAGTAGGGTTCATTCATACCAGTAGTTGATTCCTAGCTAATTTAATCATGCTTTAATCCACCGACTAACCCAATCTTCTGAGACACGGTGACCCATAAACGAACCAGTAGCATGGGTTCACAAATGGTTGGGCTTAGAGAGAGTTGATTAGTTTGTTGTACGTTGTGTGACATTTGACAAATGCCACCAAGACTGCTTATAATGAAAGCTTTAGGGAGGCTTGATTTCTTAAAAGCTTTACCCTATTTTGGTTCTGGTGCACAGAAGTTAAACAAAAATAAAATATTAAAGACAGACTTATCTGTCTTTGTCCATTTAGATCAGTGTTTCTTAACTTTGGGAACTTCAAGAAGTATGGACTTCAATTCCCCAAATTCTCCAGCCGGCTGGAGAATTCCAGCTGGAGAATTCTGGAAGTTGAAGTCCACACTTTTTAAAGTTTCCAAGATTGAGAAATACTGGCCAAGACAAAGTCCAACATTTGAAAGACCAACAGTTACTTTAGACCAGGGATTTCCAAAATGCTGTTAACTTTTCTAAATTTTGAAGCTGTAAGAATTTTTTTTACTTGCTCCCAGAGGAGCATCCACTTCCTGCACATGCCATGCTCTCACCTGAACAATCTGGGCAGTTTTGCTGTAGGCCTCTGAAAAGCAATATTTCTCTCTCTCTTTGGAACTTTGTATTTCTCTTGAACCCAATAAAGCATTAGAGGAAATAGATCAAGTGCAGAGGGATGAAGATGGATTCCCCAAAGAGTTGAACTACATTATGCCAATTGCTTCCTTCTTTCAGAAACAAAGAAAAAAGTGGTAGCCAGCCAGCATGTTTGGATCGCATGCCGGAGAAGCGATTCCCCTTAAAGACTCATCAATCAGAAAGTTATCTGCCAATAGGTATGTTTGGCCCACTCTAAAAAGGTAAATGGAGTTGGGGCAGTAGGTTGCTGTTAATATATCTTCTGTCTATAAAATATCTATGTGGATTTTTTTCATCCATTCCTTATCCTACTAGAAGCTCAATCTTAGCCAGATTACCTTCCTAGTCTTAATTTAGTGATAAATACAGTGTGGCCTGTTTGAGTCCTTAGCTATCTGTGTCTTATTTGGGTCATGGGAATGGTGCAATTTAGATAAAGACTGCAATCTCATCCAATGTACTTTGAGGTAAAAATCTTTAGGATTGCACTATATAGGAGTTTATTTGCTAAATAACATTTGAGGTAAATTTCCTAACTGTCACAAAAAACAGTGAGCTAAAGAGGCATTCTAAAAAGGATGAAATAAACAATGCTCCAGCAGATAGCAGAAACTAGCCAACCTTAATTGCTTTGCATAGCTAAGCAGAATTTGCTCTGGTTAGTACTCAGGGGCAGCGTGATGGCTTGGCAGTTAAGCCACTGGGCTTGTGGGTTGGAAGGCCAACTGCCAGGACTCGAGGACTTGTGTCAGCTTTGGAAGCCATATTGAGATTTGATGCTCCCACACTGACACAATTGAGCCTGAGAAAGTGGGAGGGAGGAATTCATTTGAGTATATCTAGTTAGACAAAATAAAAATATTTTGTTTGGTTCAAGGTCAGTGAGTGTGGCATATAATGAATTGGGAATCTTACTTTAGGACGGATGGTGATTGGACCATGTGATGTGGGGATGGCTAAGAGGGGATTTGTAGTTTTGACTTTTGCAAGGAAGCCCTGAACTTTCAGTTTTGGGATTCCACAGATGTGCCAGTTACTATCAAATAAAGGTACCTTTGAGATATGTCTGTCTCAGAGTTATTGATTGGAATGGAGGGTTGCTGGAACGCTGACACATTGCAGGACAAGGGGAGCGCTTGTCTTCACCTTGCTCTTGCTCACCTAGAAGTCCAAAAGCATGCAAATACAAGTAGATGAATAGGTACCACTTTGATGGGAAGGAAACAGTGTTCCACGACGACATGCTGGCCACCAACTATGGACATGACTTCGCACAGCACTGTCTCATGTCCACGGTTATAGAGATGAGCATCTAGTATATAGTTAGCAATGACTAGCAGAATAAAATCTGTAGGGCTTTCTCAGTATTCAGATGGGAGGCTATGTGGGATTTTTCAGAGCTGCAGGATAGATTGAGAAGTTGAAAAAACCATTGTGAAAGAAGGCAGTAGTAATTGGCGAAAACACCAAAAGTTAAACTCAGCTTGAAGGAAGGCTTCTGCAGGCTTCACCTTAAATATAAAACCTCAGCTTCACCTTAAATAAATGGTAAGGATGAGGATTTTTCTATGTTCCATACTACTACATGTATTCCTTTCAGGATAAAAAAAACATAAAGAGCTAGATTCACCTACACATAGGCAACAAAATCCCAGTATTAATATGCTAAGATTCTAAAAATTCAACAAAAGAATGACAAGAATTCTAGGGACAGTCTCTTTATTGTGGCCTCCAATGTATCCTTATGATTTATATTGACTGTTTGCTAGTATGATTTGATTGCTTATTGTACCCTATGACTATCATTAAGTGTTGTACCTTATGATTCTTGACTCTTGATGAATGTATCTTTTCTTTTATGTACACTGAGAGCATTTGCACCAAGACAAATTCCTTGTGTGTCCAATCACACTTGGCCAATAAAGAATTCTATTCTATTCTATTGAACTATAACACACACACACCTGACTGTACGGTTTTGGTTTCTTTAAAAAAAGAAAACCAAAACATAAAGAAGAAATAATAAAATCTATGGCAACCAAGTCTTTCACTCAAGCTTCTCCTCTTCCTCCAGAGAATGATAATGATGTTAGCTTGTTATAGCAGAAAACATCTGTCTCACAGATGTATCCCAACATGTCCAGAGAATCAGCATGACCCTTAGAGCCAAAATATGATAAATTGACAAAACAAGAGGAATTGTGGGCCTCAGTACTTAAATTAAGTGATAACTTCGTTCCCAGTTCCCATTTCCTCTTTATTTTATGGTTTCCTTTCTCTCAAGAAAGCATTTTGTACTTCAAAATGTTTTTTTGAGCAATTCCTCTTCCAGTCTCTGAGGTAGCTGAGAGATTAAACTATTCTCTAAACTGCCTGTTGGTAATTTCCAAGCTTCCAAAAGCAAAATAAGGAATGCAAAACAAAACTAATTATAGAATAATTTTTTTCGGAGTGAGAGAAATAAGACCAATCTTTTCTTAATTTGTGAGGTCTAGTTTTAGCATAGTACAAAATTGTTACCATCTAAGTATAACCCTGTCATGTTAAAATAAGATATATTCCCCCTGAACATTATTACTAGCACAGGTACCGTTGGATGTATATCTGTGATGTATCTCTTCCCTTGTTTGAATGTTCCCCCATTTCCTTATTCATTCCTCCAAACGGTTTTGAGGAAAAAAGAAGAGAAGTGGCTGAATTTGCCTCATATTACTTTAAGAGGATAAGAAGCTTTGATGGTCTCTCCTACTTTGCATGGTGATATTGCAATTCAGCCAAGTATCTTTTATGTCAGGAGAACCTTTGCTTGTGGGCCAGTTGGCAAATCCTGAACTTTAATAACTCTATAAGTGTTGTCCTATATTTTAAAGGCCATTGGCTTTTCTGATGACACAGGGGCTAGTCTCTGGAGTTAATTCCATTCATAAAACCTCATATGCTCAGCTTCCCTTTTCTAGCAAAATGTTCTTTTCATCTTAGTGAGTCACGAAGTCCTCGTTTCTTCTTTGGCCCATCAGAGTCAATTATAGATCAGCTCCTTTTCTAAGGCCTGGAGATTTTTCACTGCTGACTGTACAGCCGGTAATATCTCATTTACCACAGAGTGATTTCCCACCGCAGCTGCTTTGTATAGCTGGGATGTCAACGGGGAGAGGACGTAGATGGATGGAATTTGTCACTCAAGTGTCCCTCAGCTCTGCATCTTATGTATGTGGCATTCAAATTCAAGTGATCTGAAACATTTTCCACAAGGAAATGACAGGCCCGGGGTGGAGAGGTAATAGAAAGCTCATGGAGCTGGCATGCTCACTATGTTCACAAATGAAAATATCTGTAGGGGAACATATTAAAAGATGTGGCACCCCTATGCAAGAAAGTACAGTATATAGCTCATATCCCAAAGCTTAAGAGAATCCCATTCTCCTCTTTCCGTATTGTCCCAGTAAAAAGGCTCAAGCAAAGCTCAAAATCCTAGTCCACACCTTTTTCTCCAATGTGTCCAAGTTATTCAAAATCCGTGTTATGAATAAATGTCAGGACTTTCATATCATACCCTCTTTCATTACACTCGCTATGTCTTGATATAGGTGGTTCCTCAACTTATGACCACAAAAGAGCCCAAGATTTCTGTTGCTAAATGAGACATTTGTTAAGTAAGTTTTGTCCCATTTTGCGACCTTTCTGGACACCGTTGTTCTGTGAATCACTGCAGTTGTTAAGTTAGTAACATGGTTGTTAAGTGAATCTGTCTTCCCCATTGACTACTTGTCAGAGGGTTTTAAAAGGGGAGCACATGACACTGGGACATGGCAACAGTCATAAATATGAGCCAGTTACCAAGCATCTGAATTTTGATCATGTGCCCATGGGGATGCTTCAACGGTCGTAAATGTGAAGAACACTCATAAGTCACTTTTTTTCAGTGCCATTGTAACTTTGAACTGTTATTAAATGAACTGTTGTAAGTTGAGGACTACCTGTATTCTCTCTAGAGTTTCCCTCCTTTCTTTTTGATACCTCCGCAAAGTGCAGCTTACTGCTATTACAACCTTCAGTTGTGATGTGGAATCTGTTCACTTCGGTGAAATTACCTTGTTAAAGAATAATATCATATCCTGAAATCAGGCAGAATAGTAGACAGGGAGGGAGTAGGTCTGGTCCAATGCTCGAGAAATAACATGGTGTCATGCCCCTGGTGGAGACTGACTCTGAGGCAGAGGAGGAACAGCCAATAGGGAGTGGAAGTATGGCTCTGGAGGTTGTGGAGGAGGCTGGGGAAGGGCAGAGGCCAGTTGGGCAGTCAGAGGAGGAACCAGGCCCATCCCCTATCCATCCTAGGTCATGCAGGGAGGAGAGGATAAGGGAGAGATGTGGTATACTCGGGAGGAGATCCTCTTCATGGGGTGCAGCTGTGACAACTGAATAAGAGGACGGACATGCGTAAGGATGAACGCTGGAAACAAAGCATGGAATTATCTCTAGTTTATGGTTTCTTTCTGAGTTTGGCGTCCTTCCCAGTGTGTGTTCTGTTATCTGCAGACGTCCTCCATCCCTTATCTTGCCTGGTTTGTGTTGCTTTTTCCCTCCTTCTTGTAACTGTTTGTGTGGGAGTTTTTTGTCTTCCGTCAAGGATATTTGAAGCTTGGAAGCAAAGTGAAGGAATAAAAGGGGCTTCACTGGGTTTTTGTGACTGTGTTTGTGTTGTATCCCACCCTGGGTCATCACACATGGCTATGGGTATTCTGGCAAGGGACTTGAGGAATCTCCTCCCCCTCTCCTTTGACTTTCTGATCAAGCTTTGGTCACCTTCAATTTGATACCTCAAATAGCAATGTCACACTTCTTTTTCTCCCACCCCCTTTCTTTTCAGGTTCAAGATATCCTTCCCAAGGAACGGAAACTGAAAATAGTCCTTGTACAAAGTCTCCGGCTTTTAGAACTGGCAGCGAACCTAATCTGAGCCCCCTGATGTTCCGGAGATTTGCTTCAGAGTTGCAGATTAGTGACGCCCTCAGGGGTTCTGACAGCCAGCTTCATTTGAGACCTCCGCCGAAGCCCAGTAAACTGCCATTTCTGAGGCCACTGCAAGGCTTGGACGTCCTGTATGGTGAACTGAATGCAGCTTTTCCCACAGAGGGCAGGCCCACAAAGCAACCTTTATGCCCGACGGACAGCTTTGTAGAGCATCTGACAACGAAGGACAATGGGACACACTCATCCTTGATCCTGGATGACAGTGACTCTTTGCTGAGTTCTGTGGACCCACACACAGCTCAGTTGGAGATAAGCAAAGAGGGTCCCATCTTCGTCACACCTGCCATTGAGAAGGTCTCTGGCTTCAGGCCAAACCACTTTGAGTCAAAACTTCTTCCCCTAGAAAATAAGCCCCTGGAGACCACAATGTTAAAGAGAGTCAAAGAGATGTTTGCGAATAATAATGCAAAGGTCATTGCCCAGCATATACTGAAGATGGACTGCAAGGTAAAAAAATAATAATCTTTATTTTTAATTTAAACAAGCTGGGGGGGTTATTTTAACAGCCATATTAAATCAGACCAATAGTTAATCTGGTGTTCTGTTTCAGGCACAGCTAGAAGCAAACGTATTCTGGATTTAGAATATCACACACTCTAAATATACATTTATTTATGTATTAATAATGCAAACACCATGTATGACTCACTCCGGAGTCACATAAAATAAATGCCAAGGATACACAAATGGCACTAACAATAGATCCAACCAAAATAATAATAATAATCGGCAAGAAAAGGCCCAGGTGAATAGTTTTTATTATGTACAGAATAAGTGATGGAAAGAGGAACCTCAGGCAAACTCCTCTAGGGAGGGATATTCTGAGAATGTGGTGTACCTGTGCTTTTGCATGCTGAATGAAGGATCAAGTCTCTACGCAGAAGCTGCAGAAGTTGTAGAGCTGGTCAGATTATAAACTGAAGGGTGACCCTGAATGGTCATCAGAGGGCAGCAGTGTGCTGAAGTTGGACATATCTCTCAAGGCTTTGAGCAGAGAATTAGTTCTGTTGCACCCGGTTTAAATTGTGGCTATGCCCAAAGACACAATTGGATTAAGAAAATGTAAATCTGGAATATTATTTGCCCCAAAATATATTGGTAGTTATTTGAGAAATGGCCCTCTTCTTGCACAAAAGGGATGAGATGAACAAGTAAGTAGTTCTGGACATTATCCCAGAAGGCTAATTTAGAAACATACTTCCTTAGGAAGCCGTTATGTGTTTTTTTTTGTTTTCTGATGTTGAATGAATCCACCTATAGTGGGTTGTAAACTATTTTTCATGGTTCACAGTACTGTAGCTGAGCCCAAACAACTTTGGTTTATTCAGTAAGCAGAGTTAGCATGATGGGGTCAACCAGACCATAACTTCCTATCTCAAAACAGGGGTCTGGATTTGATACTCTTCAAACTGTGTTTTTTAATTGCTTTATGTTGTAAAGAAAGGAAACTCTTGCAAATCAGCCAAATAGGCAATCTATTGATAAGGAGAGAACATATGGATAAGGGAGAACTCTTTGAAAGGAGGGATAGAATCTTGTCTAAATTCTAATGTTTCCTTACTTGATAAAGCCTAATTGACCAGGGTTTCTTGATACAACTTGTCCAGAATACATTTAGTTCAAAGCCAATTAAGAACTCCAGAGTGTCCACTGGAACATTAAGTGTGCCCTCTAGTGGACCTGCTTTTGAACTAATTATATGGAGCTGGTTGCCTTTGGAGGAATTTGGTGGAATGAGGAAAAATTACTTTTCTTGCCTTCAGTTTGGAATATCTCATAGAACTCAACCACTCTGTTTCTTACCCTCCATATTTTGGTGGGGATTTTTGTTCTTCATGTTAGAGATTAATAGAGAAGTTGCAGGAACATCAACAAAGAGCAATTTTTATCCTTGGCAAGAAACTAAAAAGGTCTTGTCAGATTTGTGCTTAAATTGCTAATCTCTTCTTGAAATTTCCTGGGACATAATGTGAGAATAATTGCTGGTATAGGTCTTTCCAGGATCAAATTTGGAAGTGTTTCCAAAGCTGACAGAGCAAGCCTCATAGCTGTGATTATTCTAGTTTTTCCCCACTTTGATGCTCTTCAAATATACTAGAATTTCTCATAATACTGTGGCAACATGGTGCCTATCTAGAGAACCAGACTGATCAGGGGTGGGATTCAGAAATCCCAGCAACTGGTTCGCTGCCCAGTTGCTGGGTGGGCGTGGCCATGGTGGGCATGGCCTACTGGAACTCCCTGTTTATGGCTTCTGGTGGGCCTCCGGAGGCTTCCCCCGGGCCTCTGGGAGGGTGAAAACAGACTCCCCTGGGCTCCGGAGGCCCTTCGGAAGCCGGAAACAGGTCCGTTTTGTGACTTCTGCTTTTTCCGGGAGAGCCATTTTCCCAAAGGTCTGGAGGCTTCCCCGGGGCCTCTGGGAGAACAAAAATGGCCTCCTCTGGGCTCTAGAGGCCCTCTGGAAGTGGGAAACAGGCCCGTTTCTGGATTTCCGGAAGGCCCATTTTTCTCCCTCCCAGAGCCTCCGCGCCGACCCTGTACTTACCTCCATTGAAAATGGGACACATGGAGACTCCTGGGCAGGGCGGGGTCAGCAGGGCCAGCTGGTCAGTTGAAATACATCCAGTTCGGTAGAATCCCACCCCTAACACCGATTCCCCCAAATGAGGGGGAAATCAATCTTGGAGACTTGGTTGGAAAACACGCTGAGCAGCCTTCTCTAACCTGGCACCCTCCAAACGTGTTCAATTACAACTCCCAGAATTCTATGTAGTCAATGAAAATTGCATGTGCTGGCTGGACATTTTGGAAGCTATAATCCAGCTCAACCTGGGAAAGGCTACCCCAAAGTATCTAGAATAACTGAGTCAAGGAAGGCAGGGAATTAAATATAGTCCTTGTTGCAGTGATGTGTCTTCCACGCTACCTTTTGATGAGAATGACTTATTCCTTTGAATATCTCTCAGAGAATCTCCTAAATGTCAACCGGCATTACTTTCGCCCAGTTTCCCGGAAAGATCACGCTTCTTGATGTCATTGCCTTTAGTAGCCCCCTTCTAATATCCTTTCCCTAAAAGTATGAGAGACTTATTAAAAGCAGCTGTCTGTCTGGATTGTCGAAAATCATGTTGGCCTCAGCTGTGATCCTGTGCACTCAGGCTCGAAGAGACCTTCTTGTGTTCTCTTCCTCATCATTTAGAGCACTCCATTTGGAGACTTCCATCTATATATACGGGCCACTTAAATTGAGTGGAGAGGAATCGTCTGTTTCCTGACATTGTGTTTGTCATGGTCCCAGGAGGGGCTCTCAATGAGATCAGTTAAACACAATAGCCCACTGGATCCATTATTAAGGAAGGCGGGAATAATATTACTAATGACATCTAGTGCAACCCACCTGCAGCCAAGGGAGGGTTAGGTCCCTAATGAGGTTGATGCTGCCTATTAAGCTAATGCTTCAATATATGACTGTCATTAGGATTGTGGGTGGAATGCCTAAATGCTTTTCTTTCCTTCAAAGGCATTTATTGGGAGTGAATCCCCCGGTGACAATCATGCCTAGGATCTCCAAAATACATTGATGGCTTCTGATTCTTATATATACGTTTTAGAGAAACGTTTATAAAGAAAAGCGTGCACACACAATTACGTTGTTGTTTGTCAACAATGTCAGTCTTATTTGCTTATTTAAAACCTTTTTTATAGCCACCGATCTTTCAGCCAAATCTGGGAGGCTCCAATCGAAGATTAAAGACATCAAAAATCATTTTAAATTTAAAGCTATAAAAAAAACACACAACCAGTTAAAACATAAAACTTTAAAAATAAGGGTGACCTGGCACCAGCCCGTGTTAACGTGCCACCTAATCTTCTCCCAATGCTTGTGGGGAAAGCCTTACAGGAAACTAAAAGAATCAATTTTGTAATGAATGCCACACTGATTAACTATTTTGATTTGGCAGTATTTCTAGCCTCCCCAGATTCAGATAAGCATAAAGAAGATCAAAAATGAAAGTACAATATAAAGCCTCAATATAACTGTTAAAATATCATCACTTGAAGATTCTCAAGCACAGCTCATAGACAGGGTAGGCTTAAAAAGCAAACAATAATCAGGGAAAATCATTATCTTCTAAAAAAAAGCACAGTTCCTTTCTTTGGGGAATTGAAAGAGCCTTTAAGTTTGCAAAAGGGAAATTGGAAACCAATCTAGAATTAAAGTCAAAATACAACCACCTTTATTGTAGTTGGGGTGAGAACATGTGGCAAGATGTAGGAAGTCTGAGTGACGGCAGACTAAAGAAATCCAGAAAGCTAACTATTAAAAAAAAACAAACCCTGGATTTTCAAGGATCCAGTGTGTTTTGGTGTGCTGGATTCTTTGTCAGTGTTGAAACCAGTATTTTAGGGAGAAATGAGTATGCTTGACCCAAACAGGAGTTATCTGATTCACTGTGCCTTAATAAACATCTTTAAAGCACATCTGTTGATGCTTACTCCCTGCTTTCTCCTTGCATTTAGCAATGCAGTAAATGTGTTTTGCTGTTTTCTCTTAAGTGAATTCTGACATAAATTAATGGATACTCTTCTCCTGAATAATTAACCTTTCAGTTTGATCTTTATAAGCTTTGCCTGACCTCTGCTTTTCCTCCATCATAGAATAAATTTGTGTAATCATCCAATTGGTTAATTGTTCAATTTGTATCCCTCCTGCCACAATGCAAGTGTCAGTGTAAATAGAGCACCGCAGTGGTACCCCATCGAAGTATTGATGCCATCCAGATGGGCTTAATTTTGGAAAACTCCTGCAACATGTGCCTTGAGAACAGCTTTCTCAAGCTGGTGTCCTCCAGAAGTCTTGAACTGCAATTGCCATTATCTCCGGTCAGCAAAGCTAAGGAGAAGGCGGCTTGTTTTATCTATGACCTGAGACTGTTTCCTAGGTCATTCTGACAGCTGTGAGACACATACACCTCTGGGACAAGATTGGTTCAAGGATTTTAAGCCCCTTTAGTGAATCTTCAAGTTGGTGCCCTCTTTTAGGCATCCCATCATTTATACACATTTACCTACCAGTATATTTTAGTGAAAATATTCCATTCAGGCCTGGAAAATGCTTGTAAATGGAGAGCGACATTTTTGAACGGGAGGATAGTGCATTGCATTATTGGATTATTGGATTATGTATAATTCAGATGAAGGGGGTTGAAGGGTAGTCAAAAGACTACCTTGAGGACAATCAGAGAATGATAAATGGGGAAAGAAAGGGCAGAAGTTCCAAAGGAAAACATCAGAAGAAAGCTTAAGAAAAGTTAATCAATTTGTAAAAGACTTTTATTCTCTCAAATGTCGCATAATTATACATATCCAAATGAAGAGATAAAACAATAATATTATAGATGCAGATAGTGAAGATTTTAAATGAAGAAGCTAAAAACTGATTGGGAAAGAATTAATTGAAGCCCACAAGACTGGAAGAGTTGATGGCTCAAGAGAGATCTCATATGATAATCACAGGTCTGGAACTTGAGGCAAGCTGCTCTTGGGGCAAACGTGAAATGAAACTTTTAGTCTAGAATTACTGTGCCTCATTAACTGAATTTTACTGAGCTCTGGATGATCTTTTTTGTCTTATAACCTCTCTTTTTCCATCATCTTTCCCCCTCTTCCCCCCAACCTCGAGGCAGTTGATGCTCAAAACTATAAAAGTTTTAAAAGCATGCATTCCAAGAAGGTATCCTTCGTTCCATCGCACGTTTTAAATTTAGCATTTTTGTAATGATTGGCAGAGAGTGCTTTTCGATTAGGAAATAGATGGTGTGCAATTGTCCAGAGTGTTTTAAATTGTAATTTTCTCCTATCCCAAAGGCAGCATTTTGTCAGCTGCACTAGGTAAACCAGACTGTGGAAACAACTGCACAGAATGTTCAGACTCCTTTTATTGAGATTGGCCATAATAACAGAATTTTGCAGGCCTGATTGAGCTATTATATTGCCTCTTCCTTCCCCCTCTCTCTCCTCCCCCTCTCCCTTATAGGTCAGTGAATTGGGAAAATGTCTGTGTGAGCTCCTTCCAAATGTTATGTGAATGTTCTGGGTTTAAAATGATTTAGCTGTTGTTGCCTTGGCATATTACCATCAAGTTCATCTTGCTACCTTTATACATATTTCCTCCTATCATTCATTGCTTTTCTCAGAAAAGCTGCTGGGAGCAGAAGGACAACTCAGGCTCTAAAACATTAGTGAACCAGAAGAGCAACAACCAATCCCTCAGTAGTACATATCAATATTTGGGTATATGTTCTGTAACCCCAGGTCGGGGCAGTGAGTTTTGTAATGGGGAGGCTTACTGTATCTGCTACTCTTTCTCTCCAACACTTTTTCTTGGAAGACTGAGGCTAAGGGGAAAAGATGAATTGATTGGGTGTAGATGATTCACATGCCACAACTGAGATTGCCTGCAGTTAGTTTAACTTGTGCATGCCTTCTGTCAGTTTGGAGTCAAATTTAACCACCATCCCCCCAGGAATTAATTCATTAGCTTATTTAAACGCTAGTTTGGGGGTTTCTACCACAAACTATTCTTTTTCCTTCCTGAAGCATTGACCCAGTTGAGCATACTAGTGATAACAGAATGATTATTTGGGGAGGGGGAAGTGTTCACCCCCAAGTGATGGAGGGAGAAGCTTTTCTCCTTAAGTATCAACTTATGGGAAGTGGGGAGGACACAGCTGTTGAGTTCAATAGGTCATTGGGTAGAAAAGGTGATAGGCAGGGGAGCTGGACCATAGGCCTCTGGCAGGAGCAAGCAAGAAGGTTAAAGGTGCATTTATGCCTGCTAATGCAGGGTTGACAAATCCCAGCTCATATTTGAGGTACCTGCAGGAAGTGTCAAGATGTGGGTTGAGCTTGTGTGATCAAAGCTCTACCCCCTTTGTGTCTGTGTGTGGAGGGCAGCGGGGATGGCTTTGAAGACGGGAGGAAGAACTATTATCAAGGCAATGGGTCAGATAAGCCCGGCTTAAGCCTGGGCCAAGAAACTTGAGAGAACATCTCAGACAAGCCTCTCTCCAATTCAAAATAGGTTGTAGTCTGATCTGTCTTTTTTGTGAGCACAATGTTGACAAGCATTAAAAAGAGGGGGACTTTCACTTTTTCATATGCACGTGTTGCCCCCCAAATTGGGCTCTTGCTTGGTGTCAAAGCCGAGATAAGTCACCGGACACAAGGTGTGATACAAAATTATGCTTTTATTTTGATACCAAGATATAAGGACCTTGGCTCAAAAGCTAACCAAGGGCCCCAATTACAATCTTCCAGCAATTTTTATAGTCAAGGGGTGGTTGCATTCAGCCCTTTGCCCTTCCCCTAATAATGCATGCATAACAGATAATATTGATTGGTTCTTTGGATCTGCTCCGACATAGCTAAATGTCGCATCACCTGTGTTTCACCCCAGATCGTGGGTATCTTGCAAAGTGTCCTAGTTTCATGTGGGGTTTTTTTTGTGTGGGGGTGTTTCTTATAAGCAAGCTATTCTTGTCCCTAATATCCTGGCTAGTGGTTTAAGGTACTAACTTCTGCCTCTGCTAAAAAAGACAGTTCCAACTCCTTTCCTATTGCAGAGCAGCTCAAAGTAGCTCCCCCTCCCCCACCTCCTGCAGCCCCCCTCTTTCCGCAGAGAAAAGTAAAAGCAGTTTTAAATCTTTGTCTGAGGCAGCAACCCACCCCCAGCCCCCAGCCCCACAACCCCCCCTCCGTTCTGTAGAGAGAGAGAGAAGACAGGAAGGAGCAAGGCTGCTTAAGGCAAAGAAATGAAGACAAGAGAAAATGTTTCCTCAGAATTCATATTCCATTCCATCCCTACCTGGGGTCCTATCTCCACACATGACCCTTCCTCTAATCCCCAGGGCCTGATCTGTACATAAATCCCATCATCTGGTCCTTCACACGCACACCGCCCAACATCCCTGGCCCACGGAAACCAATTCAAACTGTTTGATAATGATGTCACTTCTGTCTGTGAAGAAGACGCTGCTTGAAATGCACCCATTGTCTTCGCTTGTCTTCCTTCTCTCCCATTCAGAACGTTTGTGTGCTTTTCCTAAAAGTTTCACTGTTTCAACCCTGGAGTAGACTTGCTGTTACTGTCGGTGAGGGGGTGGACTGTGGGGGAGTGGAGGGGTAGGAAGCAGGAGCCAAGAAGCGAAGGCTGACTAGGACCAAAAGCTGGTTTTGCCAGGCCCATGTCCTTTTTAAAATTCTACATTGTACAGAAAGCGGCAAAAGGAGCCGTTTAAAAATGCTTAGAAAGGTCTTCCAGCAGAGGGGATAAAACTGCAGCTGAAGAGATGCATCAATAGTGACTCCTTTGGGGAAGGACCTTGGAGGCTTTCCACCAACAGTGGGGGGGGGGGTCCCCTCACAGAAAAGGCTTGCTGGGCTATGCAGAGCGCCTGGGATCCCTTCCCCTCAAATGCGGGTTAATGTCCGGGCCGCCTTGATTCCACTCGGCTTTCTTTTGTTTGCACATTTGCCTGTGTCAGGTTGCTAGGATACTCGAGGTCTCTGAAGAGACGAGGAGGATCATGGGAGTGAAATCAGGCTTGGAACTGATTACCTTACCCTACGGACACCAACTGCGCCTGGATCTAATTGAAAGGTGAGCCCACCGCCGTCGCGTTTCTCTCTCAAAGGAGGTTTTTCTGGGCTTTCTTCGAGGTCCACAATCACAAAACCAGCCAAGTGGGCAGTTCCCAGGTGGGTAGACCCTCCCCATATGTTTCTGAGTACAGTCAGAGCAGGTTCCTTAATGCCCAAGTAACCAGAACTGAAGACTGAAACTGCCCCTGCATCCTATCGGGGCACGCAAAGTCTATCGGGACTTTGGAGTTTGGGAATGAAGGGGGCCCGATGAGGCCCAGATTTATGTAAGGATTTTAAATGGGGTCTTGATAACATAAAAGCCACCCTTCCATTGGGACATTTAATTATAAATACACTTGTTAAGAGAGCCAGTTTAGGGCAGCGGTTAAAGGCATGAGGTTAGAAACTGGGAGGCTGTGAGTTCTAGTCCTCCCTTAGGCACGAAGGCAGCTGGGTGAAGTAGGACCAGTCAGTGTCTTTCAGCCTAGGGAGAAGACCCCTTCTGAAATCTTGCCAAGAAAATTGCAGAGACTAGGCCAGGCAGCCACCAGGAGTCAACGCTTACCTAAAGGCACAACATTTAAAAATTTTACGCTTGTTAAGCAGTAAAAATAATAATAATGAGAAAGTCTGCATATCAAGACCTGAGGTCTAATAGCTTGTATTGTACAGATCTCTTATGTAATCCTGCAGATCAAGAAATAGACTGTTTTGAAAAGCCCAAGGATTGCAACCAATCTTTGAAATAAACCTCACCCAATCTTTGAAATTAAAAGTAAAATGCTGCAAGTTTGGAGGCTTTAGCCAAGTTGCCACGGTTTCCTGCTTCCAGCAAGGTAGTCCTTGACTTACAACAGTTTGCTTAGTGACCATTCAACGTTACAATCGCACTGAAAAAGGGGACTTACGACCATGTTTCACACTTAACAACCATTACAGCATCCCCATGCTCATGTGATTTATATTCAGATGCGTGACAACTGACTCTCGTTTATGACAGTTGCAAAATGGGGTCATGAGATCCCATTTTGCGACCTTCTGACAAGCAAAGTCAGTGGGGAAATCAGATTCACTTAACAACCATGTTCCTAATTTAACAACTGCAGTGATTCACTTGACAAATACGGCAAGCAAGGTCGTAAAATGGAGCAGAACTCACTTAACAGATTTCTCAGTTAGCAACATAAATTTTGGGCTCTGGTGTGGTCGTAAGTTGAGGACTACCTGCAGTTATTCTTGCTGTGCCAGAAGTGAACTCACCTTGAGACACCTTGGACCAGTGGCATTACTGTCTTTTCATGTTTAGAAGTGTAGCAACACTTATCAGATGGAGCTTATGGATGCTTTTGCTAGAGACTGTTTAAAGGACAAGGTCTTCCCTAGGACGAAGGCTGTATCCCTCAAGGTTGTTCTTCATCCTGGAAATACAGAAACTGGCATATTTAGGGGATTTTGTTCACTAGGGGTGGGGTCAGGGCTTCCATAGATGCCAAGATAACAACGCTCAGCCTTTCCCAGGTCATCAGAAAGGCACTAACTGTACAATGTTGGAGCACTGCAGCACCAGGTTGATATATGAGTATATCATGGTAATCACCCTATATTGTGAAAATCCATGGCTATTTTCTGAGAGACTCTAAAGAAACCACTATATGCCAGCAAGCAAGCAGCAGAATGGAAGAGGGTGAGATTGGAGGTTGCCTCTTTTCACTTCCTTCAAGAATAAAAAAAAGATAACAAAAATTCCTCTTTGCGCTCAGTGGCGGAGAACTGTTGAAGTTCAGCTTCGGAACTGTTCTCATATTTACCTAAAGCATAACAGAAGGCCAGAAGGATTTTGGAGCCTTTGGCTGTAAAGCAGGGGTGTCCAACCTTGGTAACGTTAAGCCTGGAGGACTTCAACTCCCAGAATTCCCCAGCCAGCTTTGCTGGCTGGGGAATTCTGGG